ATAGTCTAAGGTGTGTGTTGTTATAGCCTCAATGATAGTCTAAGGTGTGTGTTATAGCCTCAATGATAGTCTAGGTGTGTGTTGTTATAGCCTCAATGATAGTCTAAGGTGTGTGTTGTTATAGCCTCAATGATAGTCTAAGGTGTGTTGTTATAGCCCTCAATGATAGTCTAAGGTGTGTGTTGTTATAGCCTCAATGATAGTCTAAGGTGTGTGTTGTTATAGCCAATGATAGTCTAAGGTGTGTATTATAGCCTCAATGATAGTCTAGGTGTGTGTTGTTATAGCCTCAATGATAGTCTAAGGTGTGTGTTGTTATAGCCTCAATGATAGTCTAAGGTGTGTGTTGTTATAGCCTCAATGATAGTCTAAGGTGTGTGTTGTTATAGCCTCAATGATAGTCTAAGTGTGTGTGTTGTTATAGCCTCAATGATAGTCTAAGGTGTGTGTTGTTATAGCCTCAATGATAGTCTAAGGTGTGTGTGTTGTTATAGCCTCAATGATAGTCTAAGGTGTGTTGTTATAGCCTCAATGATAGTCTAAGGTGTGTGTTGTTATAGCCTCAATGATAGTCTAGGTGTGTGTTTATTTATAGCCTCAATGATAGTCTAAGGTGTGTGTTGTTATAGCCTCAATGATCTAAGGTGTGTGTTGTTATAGCCTCAATGATAGTCTAGGTGTGTGTTGTTATAGCCTCAATGATAGTCTAAGGTGTGTTGTTATAGCCTCAATGATAGTCTAAGGTGTGTTTTACCTCAATGATAGCTAGGTGTGTTGTTATAGCCTCAATGATAGCCTAAGGTGTGTTGTTATAGCCTCAATGATAGTCTAAGGTGTGCCTCAATGATCTAAGTGTGTGTTGTTATAGCCTCAATGATAGTCTAAGGTGTGTGTTGTTATAGCCTCCAATGATAGTCTAGGTGTGTGTTGTTATAGCCTCAATGATAGTCTAAGGTGTGTGTTGTTATAGCCTCAATGATAGTCTAGGTGTGTGTTGTTATAGCCTCAATGATAGTCTAAGGTGTGTGTTGTTATAGCCTCAATGATAGTCTAAGGTGTGTTGTTATAGCCTCAATGATAGTCTAAGGTGTGTGTTGTTATAGCCTCAATGATAGTCTAAGGTGTGTGTTGTTATAGCCTCAATGATAGTCAGTGTGTGTTGTTATAGCTCAATGATAGTTAAGGTGTGTGTTGTTATAGCCTCAATGATAGTCTAAGGTGTGTTGTTATACCAATGATAGTCTAGTGTGTTGTTATAGCCTCAATGATAGTCTAAGGTGTGTTGTTATAGCCTCAATGATAGTCTAAGGTGTTGTTATAGCCTCAATGATAGTCTAAGGGTGTGTTATAGCCTCAATGATAGTTAGTTATTATTTTTATAGCCTCAATGATAGTCTAGGTGTGTTGTTCTCAGTAGTCTAATTTTGTTATAGCCTCAATGATAGTCTAAGGTGTGTGTTATACCTCAATGATAGTCTAAGTGTGTGTTGTTATAACATCATGATAGTCTAAGGTGTTGTTGTTATAGCCTCAATGATAGTCTAAGGTGTGTTGTTATAGCTCAATGATAGTCTAGGTGTGTTGTTATATAATGATAGGGTGTGTTGTTATAGCCTCAATGATAGTCTAAGGTGTGTTTGTTATAGCCTCAATGATAGTCTAAGGTGTGTTGTTATAGCCTCAATGATAGTCTAAGGTGCGTGTTGTTATAGCCTCAAGAGAAACTGGACTCGGGGTTAAGATAATATACACATTTTCTTTATTGTTATTTTCGTCTATATTGTCTCAGACTTTATTGTTTAACTCTTATTTTACTGAACCCTTTAAACACTGTATTGTGAAGCTGATATATACTCTGTGTGTCTGTTTGTCTGTCTGTATGTCTGTCTATCTGTCTGTCTATCTGTCTGTCTGTCTGTCTATCTGTCTGTCCTGTCTTTTCTTTGTCTGTATGTCTGTTTCTCTCTCTCTCTCTCTCTCTCTCTCTCTCTCTCTCTCTCTCTCTCTCTCTCTCTCTCTCTCTCTCTGTGATACACTAACTATGGTACTAAAGCTAACCACCTCGTTATGTTTAGGAAAATACAGCTGGGGTGTCTACTCTTCAGATGATCCGTCTAATCTTTATGGAAAACGGGAAGCTATTTATTACTCTACAACTCTAACAATAACTGTAACCTCTCCCACTCTGCCACTTCTTTCCTCTCTTTTCTTTCTCCTCCTCCTCCTCTTTCCCCTTCTTCCCCCCACCTCCTCATCCGTATACCCCACACCAACTCCCACAATCCCCCTCTACACTTGCTCTCCCTCACTAACCCCTCCCCCACACCCTCCCCCCACACACACAAACACCCCCTCCTTCCCCCCCCCCCCTCTCCCCCTCCCACACACAACACCCCCCTCCTCCCCACACCCCTCCCCCCACACACACACCCCCCTCCCTTCCCCACCCCCACTCCCCCACACCCTCCCTTCCCCCAGACACACCCTCCTCTCCCCCACACACACACAAACACCCTTCCCCCTTCCCCACACACCCCCCTCTCCCCCCTCCTTCCCCCACACACACCCAACACCCTCACCCCACCCCCTCCCCCCCACACACACACAAACACCCCCCTCTCCCCACACACGCAAACACCCCTCCCTTCCCCACACACCCCCCTCTCCCCCCCACACACACACTCCCACACAAACATAAACATATAAATGCACAACACATCAGCCGAGTTGTTTATACACACTCCGAAAATAGCAGCATAACTTGCAGTGTGGGCGAGACGAGGTGGGGGTTTTAGTACACACGAGTGGAGAGAATTAATCTTTTTAACACAGTACATCTCTGAATCTAAATATCGTCATGAATATGCAAATTAGATCCACAACCTGCTGGAAAATTATCCTATTTAACACCGACTCTCATTTTCACTCTCTTCTGGGAGTTTATATTTGTCAGGTGAATTATAAAAGACGATATTGTTGTATTTTGGTGTAGTTAGCCAATTGTAGTATGAAGGTGTTGTTGTAGTGTTGGTGGTGGTGTGGTGTGGTGTTGTTGTGGTGTAGTGTGAGGTGTTGTTGTGGTGTTGGTGTCAATTGTGGTGGTGTAGTGTGGTGTAGTGTGGTGTTGTTGTGGTGTTGGTGTGGTGTGGTTGTTGTAGTGTGGTGTGTTGGATGGTGTGTGGTGTTAGATGGTGTGGTGTTGTTTGTGGTGTAATTGTGTGGTGTGGTGTTGTGGTGTGGTGTGGTGAATGTGGTGTTGTTGTGTGTTGTTGTGGTGTAGTGTGGTGGTGTGGTGTTGTTGTGGTGTGGTGTGGTGTGGTGTGGTGTGGTGTGGTGTGGTGTGGTGTTGTTGTGGTGTTTGGTGTGGTGTTGTTGTGGTGTGGTGTGGTGTGGTGTGGTGTGGTGTTGGTGTGGTGTTGTTGTGGTGTGTGGTGTGGTGTGTGTTGTTGTGGTGTTGTTGTGGTGTGGTGTGGTGTGGTGTGGTGTTGTGTTGTTGTGGTGTGGTGTGGTGTGAGTGGTGTAGTGTGGTGTTGTTGTGGTGTGGTGTGGTGTGGTGTGGTGTAGTGTGGTGTGTGTGTGGTGTGGTGTGGTGTGGTGTTGTTGTGGTGTGGTGTGGTGTAGTGTGGTGTAGTGTGGTGTGTGGTGTGGTGTTGGTGTGGTGTTGTTGTGGTGTTGTTGTGGTGTTGTTGGTGTGGTGTGGTTGTTGTCGTGTGGTGTGTTGAATGGTGTGTGGTGTTGGATGGTGTGGTGTGTTGAATGGTGTGTGGTGTGGTGTGGTGTGTTGAATGGTGTGTGGTGTGGTGTGGTGTGGTGTGTTGAATGGTGTGTGTGTGTGGTGTGTTGAATGGTGTGTGGTGTTGAATGGTGTGAGGGTGTTGTTGTGGTGTGGTTGGTGTGGTGTGTTGAATGGTGTGGTGTGGTGTGGTGTGGTGTGGTGTGTTGAATGGTGTGTGGTGTGGTGTGGGTGTGGTGTGGTGTGTGGTGTGGTGTGGTGTGGTGTGGTGTGTGGTGTGGTGTGGTGTGGTGTGGTGTGTGTTTGTGTCTTATTTTGGAGTATTTTTGAGGTTGTCTGTATGTATGTGGGAGTATTTATTTCCAAGTAATATAAATTAGTTCGCGAATTAGAGTGAAATTATTATCAACGGTTCGCGAATTAGAGTGAAAGAATTATCAACGGTTCACGAATTAGAGTGAAATTATTATCAACGGTTCGCGAATTAGAGTGAAATTATTATCAACGGTTCGCGAATTAGAGTGAAATTATTATCAACGGTTCGCGAATTAGAGTGAAATTATTATCAACGGTTCGCGAATTAGAGTGAAATTATTATCAGTTCGCGAATTAGAGAGAAAGAATTATCAACGGTTCGCGAATAAGAGTGTAATTATTATCAACGGTTCGCGAATGAAAGTAAGATGAAAAAAGACGTGATGAAAATATATGTCGATAACTTTATAAAACTTTCATAAAATCCAAAAACACGACTCAGTAAACATTAAGCCGCCTTAACGTATTATATAAAGAACTATCTCTTTCCTTTTCCCGTCCACCTGGTAGTAGTTACCTGTCGTTCCCTTGTAATTAACACTAGTAACCTGTTGCTGTCTACGATTAACTATATTTAATTGAAGCTTACCTGTAATTAACAACAATGATCTGATACACCCGCCTTAACCATTATGTATCTTTGATTAGTAAAAATAGGACCGGATTTTTACCTGTTATTAGCGGTAATGGTCTAATGCACACCTGTGAGGCCTATTGTTTACCTTTACTTAATGACAAAAGTGACCTGTTTCTTACCTGTGATAAGGAATTGTGACCTGATGCTCTGGCGTTCACCTGTATGGCCTGATATCCACCTGTGTGGGTCTGATATTCACCTGTATGGCCTGATATCCACCTGTATGGCCTGATATCCACCTGTATGGCCTGATATCCACCTGTATGGCCTATCGTTCCCCCGTAATATCCCCATCAAGAGTCACCTGAGACCTACCTGACGTAGAAGGGTGCCGGGGTTGATGTAGAAGGAGCCGTCATTCCCCTGCAGGTATTCCTTGGACAGGTGGTGCTGCAGCTGGCCGCCATAGAAATCCAGCTGGCTAGGCGGGCGCTGCTGCTGGTGCTCTGCTGTGGCCACCACCTCTGTCACAGCGGCTGGTGTCTGCTGTTGCTGCTGTGAGGTCTGCTGTTGTTGTTGCTGCTGTGACGACTGCATTTGGTGATCTGTAAGGGATAGAAAAACAAACAAAAAGATGTTTTATTATTATTATTATTATTATTATTATTATTATTATTATTATTATTATTATTATTATTATTATTATTATTATTATTATTATTATTATTATTATTATTATTATTATTATTATTATTATTATTATTATTATTATTAATGTTCCCACAATCTGTGAAACAAACACTCACCATCATTGACCGGAATCACGTCTGGATTAGGGTCATCAGCCTCATCGGGGTGACTTGGTGACCCCTTGTGGTAGACCATCTTGACCTCTGGGTTATGCAGGCGTCGTGACCTCCTGACCAAGACCGCGATGACCACAGCCATCGCCATCAGAGAGGCCAGGACCCCGAGGACCATAGCCAGCAGGGAGGTCAAGGCGAGGGCGCTGCCAACTAGTGGTGAGGGAGAGAGATAGAGAGAGATGTTAGCGCCCCTGGTGATAGAGTGTAACTAACTGCAACAATCATAACAGGTTGGAAATTGTAAACTATATGGACCCCAAACGCTTTGAGCAGTAGAGAAATGGTGAAAGCTCCGAGTACTTGCGGTTTGGTGAGGATTACCAGAGAGGGGAGGGAGGAGAGGTTTACTGCAGCAGGAACACAAGTAATGGTTTATGAATGGTTCTTCTGGTATGAAGTATTTTTAGCACAATGTTGCCTCGTTGTGTACTGCAGAACGTTAACCTCAGTAATGTACTTTTGATGTATTGTAATATCATCAAGATAGACAACTATATGGAGTTTAATGACTGTATGTGCAACAGTGTTTGAGAGACGTCCGTTTGTAGGTTTACATAGTCCATACAATACAGACGGCTGAATTACAGTAACACCATTCTACGTCCCTTAGACACTCGCAGCGGAACAATACCAAACACAGGACACTGAGACAAACTAGTGCGGGAACTAACTCACCTGGGCTGATGTGCTTCTCGGCCACGTCTTTGAGAGTAAATATAGCCAATCTCACTGCCTCACTCTGGCCCTTTTTGTTCACGCCCATGATAGTGAGGACGTACTCCGTGCCCGGCTCCAGCCCCACCAGGCTAAACTCCGGCCGGGGAGACGTGGAGGTATTGGCCAGGACTCTTGGGGCGGCCTTCTTGTTATCGTGGCCGCGGGTGTGGGCGCGGGCGTGACTCACAGAGAGGGTGAAGGTCTGGGCCAGGCCACCGTCCCATCCCGCCTGACACCTCACGCCCACGCCCGTCGAGCTGATGTTTTCCACCGTGCAGTTGTTGACCGGGTCTGGCGGCGCTGTAAGGCAAACCAGGACACAGGTGTTATGGGGTGGTGCAGGTGTTATGAGGCAGTGCAGGTGTTATAAAGTGAGACACGTGTTTATGAGGTAAGACATGTTTATGAGGTGAAGCAGGTGAAGGAGTCGGAGCAGGTGCAGGAGTCGAATCTAATACCCGTTCCCTGACATCAACTAACTCATATAAACATGTATAAAAAGACCCAGGTAAATACAGCTCCAAAAATCGCCAATTTTACCCACGAACACCTGTTAAGATACGGAGTCACTCATGGCATTTCTTTTGACATTTCGAGAATATAAATAACTAACTTGAAGTGTCCTCTACTCCGATATAAACACACAGAATATATAAATTCGCCTTCACCTTTAAGTTAGAGATACTGAACTAACTTGAGCTAATGTTTTGATAATGGTCACTTGTTTTATGTATACTTGTGACCAGAACGACGATGGTATTATTATAGTTTGTCATTTGATTTTTCATTGAGTTGGTTTTTAGAGGATTGTACCTAACTTTTTTTTTCCCCCATCTGGAGTATTATTATTATTATTATTATTATTATTATTATTATTATTATTATTATTATTATTATTATTATTATTATTATTATTATTATTATTATTATTATTATTATTATTATTATTATTATTATTATTATTATTATTATTATTATTATTGTACGTTTTATTGAAGCGGGGTGAAACTACTGATAATAACTTGAAATTAATGGTGTAATACTTTGAATTTGGATAGGGTTGACAAATAGTGATGCGCGCACACACACACACACACACACACACACACACACACACACACACACAAATATAATATGATCACTTCTTTTTAAACCTTTAATTAACATCAAAACTAGCATCCATTTATTTCCAGTTTCCAAAAGCGATAAAAACTACGGCTATTCGCTGCCAATAGAACACGGAATTAACTTAATGGCATCAGAGAACTGCTATTGTCAACTTCCGCCTCGATATAACCAATAGGAACCTCTGTGTCTATTAGTTCTCATTAAGAGCCGTGACGGGTTTAATCCATTCATTTAGATCCAATACATAGTGGCGTGAATGACAAACATGTAGAAATTATACAAATGATGATGATGATGATGATGATGATGATGATGATGACGCAAATAACTATACATACAGGCATGGATAATGTGGTAGATACAGGGCTGCCTCTGGACGCCCACGTCATTGGTGGCCCAGCAGAGAAGGGAGCCATAGTCCTGGTGTCTCTTGGGCGTGTAGGTCACCTGGCTCCGTCCCTGCCCTACTGACCTCATCTTGCTGCTTGGGATCTCCACCACTTCCGACGAGCTGTTGAATGCCCACCTAGTGATGCATAGGAAATAACCATTACTCTCCAGTGATGATGTTTACAAGGAAAGACTATTACAACTATTTACAGACATCGAACTAATGATGGTGTATAGAGGTGAAAACAGGACTATCACCATTGAAATTTTATCACATATAACGGCATTAACTAGATTGAAATGACCAGCCACTGAGTAATTTAACTGATGGAAACGTGAATCTAGTTTTTGTACTCTGTGACTAGAATGAGTAGGTATGGTTAGTTAATTAGCTTTATTGCCCAACTACCTGAAGGGGGTCAACTCACCTGAAGGAGGTAGGCTCTGGGTGGGCCTCTACGCTACAGGTAATATTGAGTTCCTCGTTCTTGCCGGCACCGAACACTAGGGTCTGCCCCGGCCGACACAGCGGTGAGACTGTCAAATGATGCCACCATAGTAGTGTTAGTGCCACAATGCCACTTACCATACATCTACAGTGACACTTCCCACTCACCCACAGTGCCATTTCCCACTTACCCACAGTGCCACTTCCCACTCATCCACAGTGCCACTTCCCACTCATCCACAGTGCCATTTCCCACTCGCCCACAGTTGCTCTTCCCACTCACCCACAGTGCCATTTCCCACTCACCCACAGTGCCACTTCCCACTTACCCACAGTGCCACTTCCCACTCATCCACAGTGCCACTTCCCACTCATCCACAGTGCCATTTCCCACTCACCCACAGTGCCACTTCCCACTCACCCACAGTGCCACTTCCCACTCACCCACAGTGCCACTTCCCACTCACCCACAGTGCCACTTCCCACTCACCCACAGTGCCACTTCCCACTCACACCCTCAACACCAATACAACAGTCATCAATAAGTCACAGTCAACAAGTACCATACATACATACATTAACCGGATGAAATGACAGTCACAGGGGGATAGAACATATCTGACCTGCCATTTTATGTGACCTTTGACCTCAGCAACACCAACAAACTAACAAATTATATACCTGTCTACAGCAGCTGGCGGGAAAAAACCTTTAATTTCGTATAAAAAATAATATCTTTGACCTCTAACTCATGTCAAGTGTGTGTGTGTGTGTGTGTGTGTGTGTGTGTGTGTGTGTGTCATAAGATGGGTTATAATTTTTACGATTTTTTCCATAATGTTGGTTTGTCTAAGTAGAAAGGATGTTTTTAATGTGTAGTTGAGGTGTGAATCTTTCTCCCAACCGCAGGAAAGAATAAAAGAACGATGTATAAATAAGGGAGGAGGAGGAGGAGGGTGGCGGGACACAAGACCTGGTACAAGCTCACTACCGGGTTTAAGGTGATCGACCCAGCCAGCCAGCCAGCCCTGATAGTGAGCAGTGAAATGGCGCGGAACTGTGATTGTTAAATTGTCAGGGAAAAAGAAGGAATCACCCAAGACAAACCTTTTCCTGTGATTATATATTATATGTTTTATAATTAACACCAAATATTAATAACTACTAGTACTGTTTAGTTACTTCAGTAAACCTTAACCCTGCCAACTGATGACGTCACATTACTCAACCAGCGAACTAGTCCTCTCTCATTAAATGCTACCAAAAGCTACATTCCCATTGGCTGAAAGATCCCGCGCTTTTTCTTGATTGGCTGAATGAGTGAGTTAGTTCATGAGTAAACCAACAGATGACGTTTATATTCACTTTTGGACGATAGGCAACGCTGCTTGATTATTAGTAATATACGTTGTTACAGGAAAACACTATGTCCCCGAGCTGTCATTGGCTGAGAGGAATGAACTAGCCATACTTAAATAACACAAGACAGTTCTCTCATTTACCAACAGATGATATTAATGTGTATTTCCGGGTATTTTCTCACACACAAATGACGAAAAATGTCTGCTATTCGTCAACAATGGAGAAGATTATTTACCCTCCACTAAAAATGCTGACGATCATGAGTGAATTTCCTCTCCTCCTCCTCCCCCTCCTCTTCCTCTTCCTACTCCTCCCCCTCCTCCTCCTCCTCCTTCTCTTCCTCTTCCTCCTCCCTCCTCCCCCTCCTCTTCCTCCTCCCCCCCTCCTCTTCCCTCCTCCTCCCCTCCTCCTACCCCCCCTCCTCCTCCCCCTCTTCCTCTCCTCCTCCTCCCCTCTTCCCCTATTCCTCCTCCTCCCCTCCTCTCCTCCCCTCCTCCTCCCCCTCCTCTTCCTCTTCCCCCTCCTCCTCCTCCTCCTTCCTCTTCCTCTTCCCCCTCCTCCTCCTCCTCCTTCACACACACACACACACACGATACTCACACTTGACGCTGAGCTGAACGGCGTTAGAGCCAGCGGTGCCCTGGATGTTGGAGGCTGAACAGGTGTACTGCCCTGACGAGGTCTTGGTGAGGCGCTGTAACACAAGGCTCTGGTTGCTCTGTATCACCCCAGCAGACACGTTATGGCCGATCTCCTCACCCTGGGGAGGATAAAGTGGGGAGACGTTATCTTTCTGTAAACGTGGGGGGAGAAGTTATCATCATCCTTGGGGTGGAGACTTAGGGAGAGGTCATGTTCTGGGGGGTGATAACTACTTTTAGAGTTGTGGGAGATATGGGGAGGAAAATTATGGATATGGAGGGGAGAGGAGGTTAGTGTGGGGAGTTTATTAGAGGGAGAGGAGGTTAGCCAGTGCAAGGGAGATTACTTGCGAGGGGATAAAAGGTTAGTCAGTGTGGGAAGGTTACTGGGGGAGAGGAGGCTAGTCAGTATTGGGAGATTACTAGTAGGGGGGGGTGGGAAGGAGCTTAGTCAGTGTGGGGAGGTTACTGAGGGGAGAAAGGAGATTAGTCAGTCTAGGAAGAATACTAGGGAAGGGAGGATTATTTACTGTATATTATCCTGTCATACACTGGGGAGAATAAAAGAGGGGAGATTACCAAGTATATCTCACTAGCTGTAGGGTGTAGGAACTCGGGGTAACATTAATCTAACGTTTCATAACAAATAAACACAAATCTAACGTGTCGAATAGCTGTAATAACACATGATGGATTTAGCGTTGACTGCAGTTAGCAATACCTGTGTACGGTAATGACTCACTGTATAGACCAAGTGAAAAATCATTGAATAGTCGAGTGTGTGTGTGTGTGTGTGTAGTGAAGAATTATAGGAAAAAGTGTCAGTTACGATAAACTTAATTCATTATTTTTTTCTGTTTTTGTTGTTTTTTTATTTAAGACAGTAATGTACTTTAGCCATTTATAAGTGAGGTATTATAAATGTCATACTAACGCACTTACATCACGTTGATACTAATACGATATTTCTATTGTCCTAAATTACCGGTAAAATAGGTTTATGATTTTATTTATTTTTTTAATAATTTTCACATATTTTCCTACGAGAAAAAAGGACAAAATGTTTACGTAGCCATTTTGTAACGTCCATTAAATCCCCTTTATGTTCTGTTTACAATATAACCCCTACAAACCCGGTTCTCCCGTAAAATAACCCCTAAAACCCCGGTTCTCTCCTAAAATAACCCCTAAAACCCCGATTCTCCCCTAAAATATCTCCTAAAACCCCGGTTCTCCCTTAACATAACCCCCAAAATCTCGGTTCTACTCACGTTATGGAACCACTGGACCTTGTAGATGCTGGGATTCGCCTGGATGCCACACTCGAAGTACACGTCATCACCTTCCTTGATATCATCCATGTCCAGGCTCGTCCCGGCCGCTAGGGATAGTCGTGGCGTGTCTGAGAGTGGATAGATGGATAGAGAGAAGGTCAGTTTTATGTCTAGGGTGATCTAGACATGAGGGATATATAATGAGATCAAGTGGGAAAAAAGTTATAACATAGCTCTTATCACATCTCTCTCTCTCTCTCTCTCTCTCTCTCTCTCTCTCTCTCTCTCTCTCTCTCTCTCTCTCTCTCACTCACAGTAGACGTTCAGTTTGGTGGCGTCCTCCATGACTGCGGTGGGTACTCGTGGGTTCTTGGCGCGGCAGGAGATGTAGGCGTCGTGGTCTGCCAAGGTGGGCGTCAGGTGTAGCGTCGACCTGCTCACGTTACCTTCCTGGAACACCTGTGGAGGACACCCGACACCTGTTAGTTACACCCATCACCTGTTAATTACATCTAGCTGCTGAGGAGGGCATCTGACACCTGTTAGTTAATTAGTTTAGGTAAGGTTAGGTTAGGTTAACCTTAGAGTGTTTAATCATCAGGTGAAATAAGCTCGGGTGCCGTAATCTTCATGTGGAAATAATAGCAAATCTTATTAATTTCTACTTAACTTTACTCACTGTAATTCATGAATAAAACTCTCATAGCCTCAATGCATAAGTTAAAGTGTAGAAGAATTTTAACGTGGATTCATTAAGATTTAAAAGGGAAAATGTTTTACCTGGTTACTGGAATTCTTAATGAGTATAATCTACGAATATCATTTACCTGGCGTCATTAATGAGCATAGTTTACCTGTCGCCATTAAGAGCATAGTTTACCTGTCGTTATCAATAAGCATAGTTTACCTGTCGTCATTAAGGAGCATAGTTTACCTGGCTCCGGGCGTCCGTCATGAGCATACCGTCCTTCCACCAAGTGATAGTGGCGGTGGGTCTCGAACCAGAGGACTCGCACACGATCTTGTACTGACTACCCTCCGAGAAGGGCCCGTCAGTCGACCCCAGTATCCGTACATCCAGAGGCGGGACTGAAACACAAGAGATTTAGGGGTCAGCATTATGGGATTTTCTCTCTCGCTCTCTCTCTCTCTCTCTCTCTCTCTCTCTCTCTCTCTCTCTCTCTCTGTCTCCGGGTGAAAGTTCTGTTGATTTGTTGTGTTTACTTGGACGTTCACACTACTGCCAGAAAGAGAGAGAGAGAAAGAAAGAGAGAAAGAAAGAGAGAGAGAAAGAGGGGGCGAGAGATATACACTCAGACAGACAAACAAAGACAGAGGTAGATGGAAATAAAAATCGAAATCGAGAGAGAGAGAGAGAGAGAGAGAGAGAGAGAGAGAGAGAGAGGAAGAAGAAGAATCAATACTGTAACAGAAAACGGGAAACAATAAATCACTCTTGTTTTACTTTCTATACTGACGATGGTAAACTATCCGCCTCTCCTGATCTGACTGAGAATGACGTTTTGTTGAGTATGTGAGGAGGATTTTGATTTTCTTCTCCGCGTCTGATTTAATGTGAATGATTATTAGTTGCCTTGCCACCCTGGTATCATAGTGGACAGTTTAGCGTGGTTGTGTGGACGTGTGGTTGTGTGGACGTGTGGTTGCGTGGTTGTGTGATCGTGTGGTCGTGTGGTTGCGTGATTGTGTGGTTGAGTGGTCGTGTGGTTGCGTGATTGTGTGGTTGAGTGGTCGTGTGGTTATGTGATCGTGTGGTTATGTGATCGTGTGGTTGTGTGGTTATGTGATCGTGTGGTTATGTGATCGTGTGGTTATGTGATCGTGTGGTTGTGTGGTTATGTGATCGTGTGGTTATGTGGTCGTGTGGTTATGTGATCGTGTGGTTATGTGATCGTGTGGTTGTGTGGTTATGTGATCGTGTGGTTATGTGATCGTGTGGTTATGTGGTCGTGTGGTCGTATGGTCGTGTGGTTGTTGCATGGTTGTGCGAGTGCCTCAGACACATTTTCACATAATACCGGGAGTTTTATCCAGACGAGGGGTATTAATATAACATTACCTTAAATCAATATATTAAACACACATATTTTAAGCCTTTAAGAACGTCATACATCATAGAAAAAAAATTATTAATGATTTACTCCTGGAGGTTTTCACGGGAGGTTATTATCAAAGGCCACATTTCAGAGTTAAATAAAAAAATAAAGTTATAAATTATATACCTGTAAATTATTTAAATTATACACCTGGGGCTAAAATTCTCCGGGTGAGTGAACATTACAGCCAACTTAAGTAAGGTTCAGTAGTAACATATCGTCTGAATTAGTATCCAAAGTCATAAATAAGGCAACAAATTTGGCCCCGAGACTCACATCATATTGATCACGACTGAAACTCTCATAGGTTAAGAGGCAATTGGAAGGGTTCAGAGGTGGCACGGTATTGTTTTGGTAGTGTGTGTGTGTGTGTGTACGTGTGTGTGTGTACGTGTGTGTGTGTGTGTGTGTGTGTGTGTGTGTGTGTGTGTGTGTGTGTGTGTACGTGTGTGTGTACGTGTGTGTGTGTGTGTGTGTGTGTGTGTGTGTGTGTGTACGTGTGTGTGTGTGTGTGTGTGTGTGTGTGTGTGCGTGTGTGTGTGTGTGTGTGTGTGTGCAGTGTGTGTGTGTGTGTGTACGTGTGTGTGTACGTGTGTGTGTGTGTGTGTGTGTGTGTGTGTGTGTGTGTGTGTGTGATGTGTGTGTGTGTGTGTGTGTGTGTGTGTGTGTGTGTGTGTACGTGTGTGTGTGTGTGTGTGTGTGTACGTGTGTGTGTGTGTGTGTGTACGTGTGTGTGTGTACATGTGTGTGTACGTGTGTGTGTGTGTGTGTGTGTGTGTGTGTGTGTGTGTGTGTGTGCGCGCCACCTTTAAACTTCTGAAACTTAACTCTGAAACACACACTAACATAACCCACACGCACTGGGCTCTCAAAACCCTATTCTGCAACCACCGTTAAATCCCCCCCAAACGCCTCCCTTAACGTCTCTCCTTAACTGGTGATAACAAAAGGCGCATCTAACTGGCTCCTCATTCAAACGGACACACATTGATCGCCTTCCAAAATGGCCTTGAAGCTTCCCTGAGACTGTAGGCTGTAACTTACGGGCGTTTTCCACAGACAAGGAGAAGGAGAAACACGCGAACTGCTAAGAATCTGTTCCAAGAAGACTGAGTGTGTGTGTGTGTGCGTGTGTGTGAAGGAGGGAGGGAGGGAGGGCAGGCAGGTGTGTGGTTTGGATGGGTGGGTCACTGCACGCTACTTCGTTCAAGCTTAGTGCTAATCTAAGTAGTAATTTAAGGCATTAGTACCCGACCTTGAACTCTTTTACCTGCCTCACCCTGTACTGTTACCCCGGCTCACTCTGTACTGTTACCCTGCTTCACTCTGTACTGTTACCCTGCCTCACTCTGTACTGTTACCCTGCCTCACTCTGTACTGTTACCCTGCCTCACTCTGTACTGTTACTCCACCTCACCCTGTACTGTTACTCCACCTCACCCTGTACTGTTACCCTGCCTCACTCTGTACTGTTACTCCACCTCACCCTGTACTGTTACCCTGCCTCACTCTGTACTGTTACCCTGCCTCACTCTGTACTGTTACCCTGCCTCACTCTGTACTGTTACTCCACCTCACCCTGTACTGTTACCCTGCCTCACCACAGGCCAGTACCAGACACTTTCCTCCTCAACACAGACAGACTTGATCACCCATTTATCTATATATTAAACGAAACACAATCTAGCCTCTGGAGGTTAAAACGTTGACCCACCAACTTGTCATTTGGGAAGAGAGTGGAGTATTTTGGTTGATAACGTTGGGACGGGTAATTGAATTGCATCATTGCACGGCAGGTGGTATGCGTGGCGGCGTGCCCCAGGTCGTGCCTTGCGTGTATATTTTACTAAGTGGTGTTGATGATGCGTGCATGAACAGACACGCACGTGGTGATGCGCACGAGGATACATTATTACCAGTTTGTATTTGAGCTTAGTATTAGAGCTGTAAAGTTTGGTTAGGTGATTAGTTTAAATATGAAACAAACCAGAAGTAACACTTTTATATTAATAAACTATTCATCATTATTTAAGATCATGAGAAGTTTCCAAATGTTCGTATATTTTCTTAATTAATGAAGAAAATTGTATTAATGAATTGGCAACTCACCAACAACCACAAGATTTTCACATCAAATTTTCTTCATTATTTCAACAAATATAAGAACATTTGGAAACTTCTCATGATCTTAAATAATGATGAATAGTTTATTAATATAAAAGTGTTACTTCTGGTTTGTTTCATATTTACCCTGACAATGATACAGCTGAAAATAGATCCACCAATCACAATCACCTTTACATACAGCCAAACTTTACCAAGTATTGCCAAGTAAAATTGTGAGTACGAGACCCAGGGTGGGGACAGTGCTTCTTTGGTTGACTGTACTATAATTGGACAGAAACTGAGGGAAGTGCTGTAATCGTCCAAGAGATGGCGCACTGTGTAGTGCGTATGACGGGGGCTGGGGGCCAAAAGGAGGAAGGAGAGGAAGGGCTGAGGGAAGGGGCTTTTGTCCACCATACTACACAATGTACACGATGGGTGAATTCGTACACCGTGGTACACATACGCACATAAACACGTATACTTGCAGAATGGAACAAGGATGAATATGCGTGCGGTAATGCATACATGACTATATATGTATGAATGAGGTGCATACCAGAATATGTATGCAGAGAATAAACAAACAAGGATGAATAAATGTATGAACACATGTTAGGATAAATGGAAATGTATGCACCCTAAAACACACACACACACACACACACACACACACACACACACACACACACACACACACACACACACACACACACACACACACACACACACACACACACACACACACACACACACACAGTGGACGTCGCCAAGCAGTGAGGTATTAGGGCTTGGTCTCTACATTCCAACACCTCACTTGCGGTGTTCCCCAGGGGACCAAGAAGGGACCACTGTGCTTCCTCATCCTGATCAACGACGCTCTATCGGACACTCCTCACAGGTGGAAGTACGTGGATGACTGCACTGTGGGGGTTTCAGTGGACAACACCGCACCAGACTACTCACCGCTCCAAGGCACCCTGGACAGGCTACAGGCATGGACTACGGAGAACAAGGTCACCATCAACCACACCAAAACCGTAGTCATGCACATCAATACCGCCACCACTCCAGTGCAAGCCCCAGCAGTCACAGTGGGTGCCCATCCTCTCCAGCTGGTGCAGTCTGATAAACTCCTGGGTGTAACTATAGACAACAAACTGGACTGGAAGGCCCATGTAAATAACACAGTCAAGGCAGCCTCGTACCGTCTCTACATGCTATGAAGACTTAGGTCACTTGGGACACCCACGCCAGAGCTGAGGACCATCTACAACGCCTTTATTCTCCCCAAACTAACGTATGCGTCACCAGCCTGGTCGTCTTCTCTCAACTCCATCCAACAACGTCAGCTAGAGAAGGTACAGAAAAGGGCCTGCAGAATCATGCTCGGCGCAGAATACTCCGGCTACACCAACGCTCTCTCCACCCTGGAAATGCCATCCCTCAGTGACCTCCACCACCAAGCATTGGAAAGGTTTGGCCGTGGACTACTGCACCACCCTCGCCATCGCCACCTCCTGCCACCTGCAGCCCCTCACCCAACTCGCGCAGTCCGCCACTACAACAAAATTCAGCCCATAAGAGCCCGCACCGATAGATATAAGAACAGCACCATCCCATCTATTGTTAAAATAATAAACAACTCCTGATTTATGTACTGCACAGCCCTGTAAATGTATTCAATGCATATTATATCATTATGTCTAAATCTAATGTAAGCCTGTCTATTTTCAGCCACCGGCTGCAACTCTATCAATAAACCGTTTATTATTATTATTATTATTATTATTATTATTATTATTATTATTATTATTATTATTATTATTATTAATATTATTATTATTATTATTATTATTATTATTATTATTATTATTATTATTGTTATTATTACACACACACACACGGAACTGGTGTAATATGCATACTTACCTGTCAACAGGAATCAGTGTGTGTGTGTGTGTGTGTGTGTGATGTTTTTATCATACACTCTACAATATTAAGGTCACAATATCACCACGCCCGTGGGCTAACCCCCTAACTCAGTACTGCCACACTCGCGTGACAAGCCTTACGTGATCAATTAGTTCGTTTACAACCCATCAACTACACACACACACACACACACACACACACACACACACATTATTTCTCTCCCTTCCTCCCTCTTACACACAATACACACACTCCCTCCCTTCCTCCCTCTTTCTCTCTCTCCCTCTTACACACAATACACACACTCCCTCCCTTCCTCCCTCTTTCTCTCTCTCCCTCTTACACACAATACACACACTCCCTTCCTTCCTCCTTCCTTCCTTCTCCCCCTCCTTCTCGTTCTTATTTCGGGTTAATTCAGGCCAGCAATCTTCCCTTAAAGTTAGCTTCTTAAAATGTCCTGCCGCGGTTCCTTCCCCAGTTAAGAGTTTTAAACACTAGGCGACACTTTCTCCCTTTTATGCTTATGCAAATTAACCCACACTGATATTAGTAGAGCTGCCGCTTATACTGTGGCTTGTGTGTGTGTGTGTGTGTGTGTGTGTGTGTGTGTGTGTGTGTGTGTGTGTGTTGTGAAATGTGAGCGTGTCATCACTTCTACCGTTGTACAGACACACAGACAGAAAGATATCCCCATATACTGACGATAGACATATAAATAGACAGACAGACAGACAGACAGACAGACAACTCACAGCTCATATCGATGGTGACAGCAGCCGCCAAAGGGACCGAGAGGTTGGAGTTGGATGCCTTGCAGGTCAGCACCCGGTACAGGTCATTTCGGGTCAGCGGGGGCAAGGTCAGTGTGTTCACCGTCACGTCTGACCTCTGCTCCTCGCTGACGTCATCAAGCATAGAGGCCTCGTTCCACCAGGTCACTTTAGGCGTAGGGCGACCTGTAGGAAATATGTATTAGTATAGCTGACCTTTGACCTGTAGGTGATATGTATTAGTATAGCTGACCTTTGACCTGTTGAAGACTTGTATTAGTATAGCTGACTTTTGGCCTGTAAGAAACATGTATTAGTATAGATGACCTTTGACCTGTAGGCGACATGTATTAGTATAGCTGACCTTTGACCTGTAGGTGACATGTATTAATATAGCTGACCTTTAACCTGTAGGTGACATGTATTAGTATATCTGACCTTTGACCTGTATATAAGATGGTTGGATTTGACCTGATAATGGACACAATATGGCTGAAATCAAACCTTTAATTAACCTTGAAAGAATATGGCAGAGTCTGACCTGTTATATGACTTATGTACAATACGGCTGAATCATATATCCGAAGACATTATGACTTACCTAACCTAACTTAACCTAACTTAACCTAACCTAACCTAACCTACTCTCCTCTTCTTTCTCCTCCTCCTCCTATTTTCTCTTAACGTCCCTCCTCCTCTACTTCCTCCTTCTCTTCCTTCTTCCTCCTCCTCCTCCTCCTCCTCCTCCTCCTCCTCCTCCTCCTCCTCTTACAGACTCACTACACCAAACTTTTAAAAAATTTTGCCAAGTGTCTGCTTTACGTGTACTTATAAGCTTTAACTCACTACTGAACCAGATAAGTGTTGGCTTGTTTGAGAGAGAGAGAGAGAGAGAGAGAGAGAGAGAGAGAGAGAGAGAGAGAGAGAGAGAGAGAGAGCAGGCAGAAGGCCACTCACACACCTCTACGCCATTGACAATACTCCAGTATATTAGTCCATAACGCCAGCTTGTGTAATTATATACAATTTGGCTCTTGTAGTGTGTGTGTGTGTGTGTTTCTGTGTGTGTGTGTGTGTGTGTGTGTGTGTGTGTGTGTGTGTGTGTGTGTGTGTGTGTGTGTGTGTGTGTGTAATATTTTCTCTTTTTTTCCGCCTCTGTCTGTCATTCTCTGGTCTTGTCTGCATGTCAGTCTGTCTGTCTTTTGGCTTTTTCCTCAGTCTCTATTTTCTCGGGTTAGTTTTGCTTGTCTGTTTCTATGTCATTTTTACTTCTTTCTGTTCCTTCCTTTTTGTTTTCCTTTTTCTCTTTTTAATTTACTTTTCCTTCTCTCTCTCTCTCTCTCTCTCTCTCTCTCTCTCTCTCTCTCTCTCTCTCTCTCTCTCTCTTTCTCTCTCTCTCTCTCTCTCCAGGTATAGTTTCAACAACACACTCAATAAGTTTGGGTCTCCCAATGTCACCATACTGTCAGCACCACACTGTCAGCTTCAAGACCATAGTGTCAGCACCACACACTGTCAGCTTCAAGACCATAGTTCCAAACCATAGTGTCAGCACCACCACACTGTCAGCTTCAGGGCTTCAAGGGCCACGGCAAAGATACTGTCAAGTTGAAGCTGC